ATTGTAAGAAAATGTTCAGGCACTCGGTCCGTAATATATTCGCGTATATTAATATACATATGTATATATATTTCATGATTTTTCATATACAGTCGACTTGGTAGTTGACAAAATGATTATTGAAATTTAATTTTTCTAATCTATTTGAAGATACAACGTAGTATTTTATCCGCACATTACACTTATATATTATAATTATTCTTTTTAATCTATCTATTTTTCAATAATTTACACATGAAAATGATCCTGCAAATGATCCTACCTTAGAGAGATCGTCATCTTAATTTCATAATGTCCAAAGTTAACGAAAGTTATGCGAAACATATTGTTTTCAACGGGATTTTAATTGGTTTAAGTGATATTTTCTCCTGATATATACTAACACGCTATTAAAGTTTTCGGTTATCTCAGTTTATTGGCTAAGTTGTTTCTTTTTATTATACAGTATACTGAATTGAAGAGAATCCCAAAACATATCTCATGAATATTGACATTCGGCATATATCTATACAATATGTGTAAATTAAAACTAAGAAATACAGAATATCCGAGTACCTGGATATATTTGCTGGCGTTGAAGTTCACACGTCTATAAGAACTATTAACTTATAAATTTAAAAGTTTTAGAGACACTGAGCAAAATACATCAGTCGTGTAATTACATTCAGCCGAAATTCATTTGTTCTATTCCACTTCTAGCTGTTGAGCTAGGTTTTAAACTTTTATATATGTGGTATCTGAGTGACGAAATTAAATTTATAAATTATATTAAATAAAATCAATTTTTTATAACATTACATAAATATAATAAAATAATAGCTATGTATTTTTTCATATTATATATATAGTATAGTATATCGTATAGTATATAGTATAATATATATATATTATAGGATATCATATTTTTAATATTTGTCAACACGTTCGTTACCACAACTTATTTTGAGAACTCTCCAGAGATCAGTGTATTTGCTTTTTATGTAATTATGTAAAATAGATTTGGTTTGTTGATGTGAATATAAAAGAAACAATATGGCTGTCATATATGTGACGTTAGCAGCGAACGTGTTAAAGCACACATTCTTTATAATTTATAATGCAGAACATACGAACTAGGCGTAAGGAATGTTCGTAAGAGAACACCAGATTTTGCTTGGAATTGCCAGTATTTCGTAACTCTTGTGTTATTTTTTCAATCCAGTTATTTTGTAAAAATATTTATATAATTACATCTGATATAAATGTTTAACGTGATTTAAATATTAATTATGGTTGCTGAAACGATACATTTCTTACTGAAACACATCTCGATAGCAGTCCCAAGCTGCGATATTAGCAGCACATGCTTCGTATTTCGAGTTCCTCATATTCAAACACATTGCCCGATGCGAGAGCAATAAATCTATAATAATTCATATAAATGAATATATTTTTACAATTTCATTAATAACACACATATGAAACCGCATCGTAAGCGCGACGGCTTAGCGTCCAGCTATTTTGTCGGTTTCATCGATTATTCACACGGACATTATTCATAACACAACAGTCAACAAGCTGCTTCCAAACCCATAATAGTAATAAATATTTCATTACTATAGTGCAATTAACATCGCATTTTGCTAACTGTCGGAATAACGTATTCGAAGAATATGGAAGAAATATTTTCAATACTTCTATTAAGAGTCAACTTGCGAACAAGCTCGATAATTCTATCTTAATCGGCTTTCCCACGTTTCTCGTATCGATTCAGTGACTTAGTCATCCACTGTTTAGCCTCTCATATGATATTGCAAAGAACTCCCTCGATACATCAAACGACTCTATCAGGTCATTAACAACTAACAAATTGTACTTGTACTATATAATTTCACGATCTAGAGCTAATGGAAAGTATAATGGAAAGACATAATGCTGATCTCGATAAGTGTGTGGGAGTACATCTGAAACATAATAGTTCAGGGGCGAACGTCAAGGCAGAAAAATCAGTCGGTGTCCAAATGTGTGATAACGATATCCTAAGTTCGAAGTAGAATATTTACCTAACTTTGCTGGACAGCATATAATTTTTATACATTGATCTACTGGTGGTTAATACTCTAGAATAATTGAAAATTCCTCCTCGCACAATTTCTTAGTTTCACTCAAAGTCTTCTAGATTCACGATGTCAACTTCCATAATACTGTTGCCGGCAAACTGCCCGAACACTCCGCTCGATGCACTACGTTTTACAACTGAAACATTTAAGAAAACGATGTAATGCCTCGGTACGTCGGCAACTTTTACGTCGAGTATCTTGAAATTCGCCAACTAACCGGAATAATCCACTTTCTTGAGCATATAGGTAGGCAAGTCTTGACATTCACGCGCTATGTACGTCCCCACGACCGAAAGATCGGTGATTGGTGGTGTGACCACTTTCATGGTCTCACGTACGATTGCTGTATCCACTTCATAGTATCCTGATATGCAAAAATTTTACATATATGTACACAACATGAGCTGTAATTTACTGCTATAATTCGCAACGTTAATATAAATTATTCGTCAAAATTATTCTGCATAGTCAACTTGAATTAGGTCGTACCATCATACATCTTCCTGAGGAGATCATACATATTACGAGGAGGCAATACACGCTGACGATTCAATGGCATAACAAAGCAGCACTGGCCGTCAATATCTATGATACCTGTTTTATTCTACAAATAAATACGATATGTGAGAATTGTTTTGCTCAAAATATAAATTCTGGAAGGTCTGACTGATATTGTTAAACTAAGTAGGGTAGGATACAATATCAACTCACAATATTGAAATCATGTATAAAGCGACCCTGGCGTCCACCGCGGAAGTCAGGCACATCGATCTTTTCATAATGCTCGTTCTCGAGATCAATCTCAAATCTTTCATTGAAGAAATTTCTGATATCATGATCTATGTGTCTCGCGATGTCCATCGCTTCTTGTTCAGTGGCTCTGGTAAGACTTTTGAATAGATCAGAGTCAGCCAACAATCCCTGATGAACTCCGTCCCTGCCATAAGATGCTTTGTTGGAACTGTCGTATGGAATGCTGTACCAGCCGGTACGGAATCTGTGCATCTGAGTTCTCGCATATTGCTTATAGATGTAGAGACCGCCAATCACACCAATAATCAGTATCATCAGTGCAACGAGAAAGAGCAAGAATGTTGCTGTCACATGTATACGCTGGATGCTTCTTCTAGTGACAAAGTAGTGACCACCTACGTCAGGTTTTGGCCGTGCTGCTTCCANCCTTTTTTAAAAAAAAAAAAAAAAAAAAAAAGGAAAGAATAGTCATACTTGCAATTTCTTGTAAAAATATTGTGTTTGTGACATGTTAACAATTAAACTGGATGAATGCATATTTGTTGTTTCTTTGCAGAAATAGAAGAATTAATTAAAAGCAAATAATTCATTATGCCTTAAATTAAAAAATGTATCATGTATGTAAAAAAAAATATAATAAAAACGGCCAATTAAAGTTGAAATACTAATATCCAAACACTCGTCTAAATCTGGATATTCTTAAGCTTTGTCTACAATGCGGTCGAAGGAGAGTCATAGATAGGGTTCGAATGAAGCTGTAAACATTTTGGAGAACTTAAAGAAAAAATATGATTAGTTTATATGGCACTTCAAAGTATTTGCGGTATGAAGTAGATTCTATGACTGCATTGTAAACGTGGCTTTATTGTTTTAGTTTTTAACTACGAATATCTAAACTTTCGACCATGAATATATTTACATGCATTAAGTATGCATTCTGTGTTGAAACTATTCATATATGTAGAATACATGTGATATATTATTTTGAAAGTTTAATATTTGTGTTTAAAGATTAAAATGAGAATATCTAAGTTTATGTACATGTCCGGACACTGATACTTTTATCTTATGTGTCACATTATTTCTCAACTACTTACTGCAACATACGTTACAAAAAACGTTTCGCTATTTTAAAAGCAATTAAAAGGAAGTTCATTCTGCGTCTTTCAATAACTCTCTTCAATAGGAAGTTTCATCTCTTTCGTGTGCATATTTTTACACGTTGTATACCATCATTGTCAATATGCAAGAAATACGCGAAGTACACATTTGCGCCGCAGTAGTGGCTTTTTGTCATAATATTACGATTTTAAGTAACGCACAACGAGTGCGTATACATATATGCGTCGTCAACATTATCGATATATAACGCACACTTGCGTCGACAACGGAAATATAATGATATAGATATAACGTGAACATAAATTCGTCGAATTGGTACATCTTTCCGCAGCGATAACGGCCTGTCGGCGAGCGAATTATGCAACGCACAAACGTTCTCTTGCTGACGCTATCAACGCTATTAATGCTCCACCATGCCGCGAATACGCGATTATTCAGCGGGGAAAGTCCAAATGCGATAAGCATTGGACGAGGGTGTTATATATACATATACTAACCGCCGCGTTTTCCTCAACAAACAATGGCTGCTCCATTTTGTCGGCCTTCTTTTCGGTGATCGCTTTCGTGATGACCGTCATTATTGCGGTTCTTTTTCTGTACCTGTGCCAAGAGCTGTCAACGATTATCCGTGCAACCTACGGCGGCGCTCTGTACTGGCTACTCGCGAATAATCGCGAGAACCGTTAAGGTTCCGAGGAGGATATGAGCACTTGGAGACAAGGACGCGACGAGTCGAGCGATCGAACGAACGTCCGCAAAATCTCGCGATCAACTGCGTATGTTGCAAACGTAAAGCGCTGAGATTGATCGGTGACAACCGCGCCCTCAGTAAGTTGACAAGTATCGCACACGCATGCGCCTCGCGAATTGCAATGTGCATCGTAAACCACGGGGGTCGGCAGTGGAAGGGAGGGGTAAAATTCCGCGGGGTTATAAAGAATTAGTGTCGGTCCACAATAGGTATTTTAAGCCTTAAGGCTTAAAATATCAGTTGTAGACCGACACTTACGGAGAACAAAACTGTCTTTAATCGAAATCCCTAGATAGCAAACTCTCTATTGATTGAATGTCAAAAGGTTTTTCACAGAGGGCGTTATGAACGCTTTTCGGTTTCAGTTTGGATATTTTTGGAAAATAGGCTCTCCATGTTGCAAAAGTTTCAAAGCGCCATATATGGATCAATCATATTCTTTCTTTGAACGTTTCTAAGTGTTTGCAGCTTTAATTAAATCGTATTGAGTACATCTATTAAGGTCTTTGCACAATGCCAGGCAACAAGCAACAGGAACAGAGAATAATACAAGCAAATTTCCAATCTATCGAAAACTGTGTATCAATTGCTGTACACTTATACACGGTGTTTCGTGACTGTCAGGGAGAATTCACACCTGAAAGAAAAGCAGAAAAGCAGCAGCCAGTCAGAAATCGCGCTGGCAGTAAACAATAGATAATGCAGAAAATAACGTCTACCAGCACGAGCTCTGATTGGCTGCTGTTTTTCTGCTTTCTGCTTTTCTGCCAAGGTGTGAATTATCTCTTAAGCCCGTATCATACTATGGATTGAAGATTAAGATTGAATTAAAATTTGACCAGTGTAGAATTCATTCAATTTCACTAAACTTGAGTTTAGATAACTTTATACTGATTGGCTAAATTCAATTTAATCTCAATCCCCAATCTGTAGTCTGATACGAGCTTTATGACATCGATGTTCAGAGGCTCACTTGTCGAAAACGTGCGAGATTGGATTGGCGTTCGGGGAGACTCTATATGTAGCGTTGCCGCGTCCTGTGAGCAGGAGCCATTAAGAGTAATAAAGATAGAATGACACGTAGCGTTAATAGCGTCTCCTCGAACGCACCCATTGTGTCGCATGCAATTAACAAGTAACTAGAATAATACTAGATTGTCGATGAGTTCTAGTATTATTCTAGTATTATTTTAGTTACTTGGCTCGTGTCACATGCAATAATCTCGCATGCTTTCGAGAATTGTGCCCCAGGCCTTCAAAATTGCATATGGTTCCATGCGTGTTTGCATCGTGGGTATGTGGAAAGCGTTGCGGGAGTTGGTTTTGATCTAGTGTTCGCGGTACGTAAAATGGGCAACCAGGTGACACGTGTCGGCAATGCGTCGCACAAGAAGGCGGAATCCACGACAGTAACTGGAAATGCGCAAGGTGCGAATGCCGTTGCGAGAAGCGCTAGCAAGAGCGAACCGGATCATAACTCTCATATGCAATTTTTCCCGATCGAGAGTCTGGCGAAGGTAGACCGGTCCAACATTTATTCTGGGTTATTCTGCCGTTTGCCAAAGTCAATAATCGCTGTTTGATATTCAAAATATTCCCCGAAAAATACCGCATCGTTTGAAATAATACAACCACTTTATTATCAAGCATTTGTTTAGGAGCCTCTCGGCAAAAACAAAAATTGCGTAAATGAGTCCGTATCATTTGGTATTTTTTTATTATTAAAGAATTTTTTTAACATTATTTTTGTTCTCATTCATAACCAACAGAAGTTTCTTTTAGGTGTATCTTGCATTTTGTACTGCTTGCTTTGTCACAATTCTCTGAATATTCTCTGAAGAATGTCGAATCATATGTTTTCCTTTGGCATATAAATCAGTAGCTATATATCTTACACAAGCATCTGTTATCAGTTATCATTATCTGCTTATCTATATGAGAAAATATGTGTAATTTTATTTCTTTTGTATGCAAGTAGGAAAACATAGAAACAAATGTTGAATTTTTTTTCATATATGTGCATATGTATAAAAAGTTTGTTTTTTTAAATATGATATACAAATGCTGATATGTATGTATTTACAGACATTGTCACATCTTGCCCATCAAGAGGAACATGTTAACGGCATTACCAAGTCTGTGTTCCAAAAGTACTTATTTCCCAATCATCCTGAATTAAGTGATAAACTTTTTACTTATCTGCACCATAATGCCAATGCTACAACTGCTTACATAAGTATAGGAGCCTTCAAGCAGCAAGCTGAGAAGTTTCTGTCAGTAATGAATGATCAAGCCATATTGGAAAATTACATAAAGATGTACTCCAACTTGAAGGATGGTGGCAATGTTACTCCTGATACATTAAAGGCATTATTAATGTGTTGTCACCAACTGACAATGGAAAACAATAGCACTGGCTTGTGTCTTCATTCACAGCGGATAATAAGTGCCGTCGTTGTTTCATGTGTTAGTAAAATACTTATTTAATTCTTTTAATGCTAAAATTTTCATAGATATTATGACATAAAAACTCATTGGTACAATTGTTAGATATCTGAGTTGCAATGCTTTTAATGTTTCTGATTGAAATGAATTTGGATTTCTGCAAGAGTGATTATCATAAGCTCTGTCTAGCCTATCACAGAGCTCGTAATGTTATTAACTCTCGGTCCCATCTACTCTAGAATTTCATATAATCTACCTGGGATCGTTTCTGACTCCATCTTATAATTACTCATTTTATATTGAAAAAAGGAGCAGTTTTCGGCATACAAACAAAGGATTTTGAATACATAAACGCATTTTTTTTTTATAAAAAATTAATATAAATATTGCTATGAACATAATTACTCTCGGAATCATTGGCCTGTATTCTGAAGTCTTTTTTTATTGATAAAAGAGGCTCCTCAACCACCTGATTAACTGAGAAGTCACATTTAAGGCACATTTTGTCGATAAAAAAAAGTTCAGAATACAGGTCATTATCTTCGGATATTAATGTTGGAATACTTACAAATTGTGTATTGATATGTTCTTTACATAAAAAATGCAAGTTCTCTTGCGTAATACATGATTTTATATCTAAATTATTGATTAGTGCTTGTAAAACTACACCAAAACATTTAACAACATATTATTGCGTACAATTTATCTAAGATCAAAATTGATTCCAATTTCATTTTTTACAATAAAAAATTATCTATAACAATTTAAGAATTAAAATTGCTGAAAATTAATAGTATGAAGTCTGAGAAAAACATCTTTAGAAGTTGAAGATCAAAAATAAATAAAAACAAGAAATATCGCTATTTTTAGATACGGGTCAAAAAAGACCCCACGATGGATGACGAGAGTTAATTCCTCCCAGAACAATCTAAACCTACTTCAATCAAAAATACTATTATAATTCGAACAAATGATATATAATGGAAAATTTAATGTGAAACATACGATTGTTATATTCGAGAATATTTCACAGTTTCACGGCAAAAGTAGCTTATCCACAAGTTATGTGAGCAACTGGATTGGCCAACATTGTCCGCGCATGGTGAACGGCCTGCAACGATACGTGGTGCATGTGTTGACGACTGCTTATCGCAATGGTAAAGCTCTTCTGTCGAAGGAACAGACGCAGCCTCCTATCGACATACCGACGCCCGTATTGGACAAGATAGATTTCGAATATCCTCGAACCTTGCTGCCGATGAGTTATGTCTGGCTGTTGTCGTGCACATTGCCGCAGTGTTACCTCCAGGTATGTTCGGTCCCACAAAATATAATAAACGAATTAATCGACAGACGTACCATCATGTCCTGCCTGTAGTATATCTTGCATAGTATATTAAGGTTCCTGACTGCTTGTTATGACTATTCTTGTTTAACTCTCTAACGGCAAAGTGAATTTTCAACATATCCAGAAAATTAGTGTCGAATCCGGCCCCATGCTCTGTTCATTTTTCATATCAATCAACTTACAAAATAGGTAAAAGAAGTAAATAATAACATGAAATATTCCTTAAAAGAAGAAACAGCGCATGCACACTGTAAAATAAACGTGGGATCAATTCCCCACTTTACCGTTAAAGAGGTAATGCCGAAACGAAAAAACACATCAAAAATTCTTTCGTTATACATTCAAATAAAAAGAAATATTTACAAAATGACATTTTTGATCGATTTAGCATACTTGTAAAATTGTCTGGACACCTTTTACCCGAATAACTAATGAATAATCGTAAAATTAATATTGACAAAGTCATGAGAAAAGAAGTTAGAAAGGAAAATTCTACGTCAAATTCATTTTGCGACTATTTTATTCATCATTGTTCAAGCAAGAGGAAAGTGTTCGGACAACTCTACAAGTGTGCTGAATTGATCATCAATGCCATTTTATGGATACATCTTTTTATTTGAACGTATGATGCAAGAATTCTTGGTATACGTTTTCTCGCTTCTGATGACGTCATTAAAGGACAATTATGGCGAGTAGCCAGAAGCCTTAATTATTTTATAGCCTGCCCCAATAAATCTTTATTATATATGTATTTGGATCGGCATATATGTGCGTGGTGTGTGTGTGTGTGTAGACCAACGATTCACCGAAGGACATAACTCACGCTTTGATAGCCGGAAGAGCAGGCAGTATTTGTCCAAGGCATTGGACGTTACTGTACAGTAGCGGGGAGCACGGGACCGGAGCTAATCGCTTCCTTCATCATGTATTAGGTTACAGAGGTCCCACTCTTCTATTTATAAGAGCCGCTAGTGTAGAAAGTGACGAGGAATTTCCGACGTATTGCGTGTGCTCGGCCGTCGAGTGGCGAGAAAGTCATCTTTATTGGGGCGACGATGACTCGATGGGCATTCAACTTACTCCGTCCTATAAAGTCATAGAGACAGGACCGAAGATGCTGTACCTGAACACAAATATCAGGGGTTACCCACACGGACTGCGACTCGGTAGCGACCCGCGTTCGCCTTTTATCAGTATCGACGAGTCATTTCAATCGGTGTCGATCGCGGGCGCCCCTTATCGCATCGCTAGCTTGGAGGTCTGGGGCTGCGGCGATACAAAGCTGAGGTACTTAACATTTTATCGATCTTTGATAAAAAAAAAAACTTTTTCTCCGCGGCTTTATGAGACACGCTATTATACTTGCAGGGAAAAGCAACTGGAAATTAAGAAGTGGCAAGTGAAAGAAGCGGAGAAACAGAGGGTCGTAAAGTTAAGTGCCAGCGACTGGTTGGACCACCCCGACCGTTATTTACTGGAACTCGCCGGCAGAGCATCCTACAACGAATCTAACAAGTAGAACGGGGAGAATGCGCGTGCCTAAGTAACTGCTCATATATTTTATTTTGTACATATGTATATAGCGCCGGGGGTATTGTCGCCGGAATTTCTGTACTTATATAGTGCACGTTGCAGAGCGTGCGTGGAATGTGATTACTAGTTATGTGAAATACAGGGGCTTATGCTTGGCGTACTTGAGCACAAGTGCCAAAGTTTCTAACATTTTTTACGTTTTCTTTTTTTGTTTATGTTTCCTCGTGTCATATTATGAGATCGCAATGAAACGACGGCGCTTCTGTTATTTCGTAAATATCGTCTCGCGGAGTTGCTGCGTACGATATTCCGAGAGAAACGAATTATTCTTAAAATCGTACACTAAGCGCCATAATAGCCTTAACATTTACTAAGCTTAGTGACAATGACATTTTTCGATCACATGCAAGGAATCGATATATTCGTGACTGCTGATTATTCTGTCAATCTGCAAGGATGATGAAGGAAAATATCAGTCGACGTGTACGTCGATTCATTGCGTGTGATCGGAAAATTCCATCGTCATCAGGTGTAGCAAATGTTAAGGCTGTTAAGCGGGGTCCACAATGAGAATCTAAGCCTTAAGAAATTGACCAATCACAGTCGAATTATAAAAAAAAATCAATTGTGATTGGTAAATTTCTTAAATCTTATGAATCTATTTCTTATCTCATGAAGTTCCGTTTTACCGTGTGTTTTTGCAGGAGGTAAGGAGGACGTTTTGAGCAACGGTATTGCGGTCTTTAAGAACATGAGCATTATTGCATTCTGAAACAACAGACCTGGCGGAATTTTGTACGATAGTTTCACTGTGCTCTGTTTTTACTGCCTTAAATTCTCATCGTAGATCACGCTTTACGGCGCTTAGTGTATTTTCATGCTTCGAAATTTGTGTCTCCGTCCGATTTTTTATAAAATGACTTTGAGAATTTTCGTGATTTATTCTCCCTTGCCAGCACTTCGATTACTTCGTTCTGGTGATTTCAAATATTTCAACGTTAGTTAGTGAGAACTGCCCCATTGGTGCGAATACGAAAAAATGTGGATATATATATATTTTAATGTCGAAGGGTATTTTTCGTAAAAAAAAAATATACATATTTATTATACATTCACACGTGTATTTGTACATTTATCAAACTCATTTACTGTATAAAAAGTATATAATCGATTATGCGAATTTTTTCTACGATATCAACACCATTCAACTGCACGTCAGTTTTCTCTCTTGTTATTTTTATATCAAGCTGGTCTTTCGACCATTAATCACAATCAACGTCAACTCTAGAGTACAGAGCGAACGAAGCTCTTCCAGTTGAATTCTCCTTCGTGCAGACGAATCACGTTCTCCTCGTCGATGGCGTCGAACAGACTTTTAAACGGCGTGTACCTCATGACAGTGACTTTATCGGCGATGATGATCAGCTTGTGCTTCGCGCGAGTAACGGCCACTGTCAAGCGTCGTTGATCGTCCAATATCTCGAGCTCCTTTTTCTCTTTGTGCTCCACGCTCCTCGCACACGTGTACAATATGACGTCCTTGTCGCGTCCCTGATACCGGTCCACGGTGTTCACCTCCACCTCTCTGTCATTAATAATTTTCCTCAGGAGGGTCACATGAGCGTTGTACGGCGCGATGATCCCTATGTTTCTAGCATACACACCCACTTTGACGAGCAGCCGCACCAGGTGAGCCACTATCGCGGCTTCCCAGACGTTGGAGTAGACCTGATCCGACGTAACGCCGGCATCACTCTCGTGCAACTTGCAAGTGCTACCGGTGTCCAAGACCATTACCGAGTCGTCCAGCCGTCCGGAGAGCGCTCTCCTCGGCCAGCTCTCGCAGGACGAGAGTACCTCCGCGCCGATCAGAGTCGCGTTCTCCACCTGCTTGTTGCCCGGTACCAGCTTACCGCGGTACGCGATGTCGTTGGCCAGCTTCATGATCCGCCCGTTCATCCTGTATTGCCTGGTCAGGTTGACCGTGTTGTTCTCGTTGTCCAGCCGCACGAACAACGACTGCGCCGCGCCGAGCTTGACGGCCGCGCGATTCTTGACGACAGGCGGCAGCTGATCGGGGTCGCCCACGAGGACGAAGCGGCGCGCGCTGTACAACGGTCGCAGCACTGTGGGCTGCATCACCTGCGTGCTCTCGTCCACCACGCACACGTCGAACGAGCGCCTACGCAGGAGCGGGTGATACGCGCCGTAACACGTCACGCCGACCACGCGTTTGTCGTTGTAGAGCGCCTCCAGGCTCTCCGGCGTGTCGCAGCACTTGGTCGCGTATTCCTCCGACTTAGACGTCAGCAGCGGATGGACCTGCTTGGTCGCGCCCAGACGGAGGAAGTCGACGTCCCGGTCCAGCAGCTTCAGCAGGACGTTGTCGAGCGCGCTGTGGGTGTGCGCGGTGATCAGCACCGTGAGGCCTAGCTTCAGCAGCAGCTCTATCAGCACCACCAGTGTCTGGGTCTTGCCCGTACCCGGCATGCCCTTCACCAGGACGTACTCGTTAGCCGCAACGGCTCGCAGCACGGCCCTCTGCTGGTCCTCGTTGAGCTCGCGTATCAGCTCGGTGCTGGCCGACACAGTCGAGCGCGGCAGGCTCTTGGCGAATGTCGCCGGTGTTCGCTCGACGACGATGCGCCGCAGCCTCGCGTTCGCCTCCTCGGAGCTCAGCAGACCGGCCACGTTCGCGTAATCGAACGCGGATCCCGCCGTGTAAGGGTGCTCGTCGATGTGGAAGATCGCGTCCTCCCCGCGCGAGACGTCCTTGTCCAGCAGGGCCGAGACAGTGTCGTTCGAGATCCGTGATATGACCCCGGTGGTCACGTTCACTCGCGCGTCCGTGCTCACGACGATGTAACTGTTCTCGGTGAACACGTTCTCCACGGTTTCACCGGTGATGTCGACGCGCGCGAACGTGTGCTCATACCTGTCGCCCTGCTCCGCCACCTTCCCGATGACCTTCAGGTTGCTGATGCAGGTGCCCTTGGCCTCTCTCTTCTCGGGACTCACTGTCCACAAGCTGCTCGACAAGCTGTCGCTGTCGGAGCTCCCCATCAGCTGTAACAGCGCGATCCACCTTATAACGTAATCCAGGTGACTAGACTCGAAGTCGTTCAACAGCTTCTTCACGAGCGTGGTCAGCGGATGCGACGGCGGCAGATTCGTAGCGGGATCCTTCGAGAGGTGAGCGCAGCACACGGCCTTGTAAGGGCATCGCGAGCACGCGGTGGGATGGTTTATCGGCTCCGGCAGCTCCATCGTCTTCAAGGCGTCCGTGCGCGCCTCCGGTTGTTTGGCGAAGTAATGCGCTAATTTGTTCCGCAGCATCAGCAAGTCCCTCTTCTCGTGATGGCTGCCCTTCACTTCCCTCATGGAGTTCTCCCTGAGATACAACAACAGGCCGGTGTCGATCCCCTCGTCTCTCGCGCTCATCATCATGAGGTAGAGGATAACTTGGGCCTTGTGCTCCAACGAGTACGAGGCCCTCCCGGTCTTCACTTCCAGCGGCATGATCTTCCGTCTTGAGTGGATGCTCACCTCCGCTGTCACGTCTATCCTTCCCTTTACTCCTAGCTGCGGTACGAAGACGTTTTCCTCGATGTCCCGTACGCCGCATATGCTGCCTTGAAAATTCTCCCTCAGGTCGTTTATGCGCCGCTGCGTCTTGCCCTTGATGTAGTGCTGGATGAACTCGAATATCCTCGGCGCGTACTCCATCATACGTGCCCGGCAGTCGTTCAGCGACATCTCCGACGCGTAGAGATACTCTATCGTATCTCTCGAGCGCAGCATGTCCTCCAGCAACATGATCAGGTTGGACAATTCCTGCACGTCTTCCCGCAAGGCCTTCTGCAGCCACTGGTGGACCAACGATCCTACAGTCATCACGGAGTAATCGGCGTCCTGACACGGTAGCGATTCTATCTTCCTGAACTTCTCCGCTAACACCGCTCGTCTGTTGCAAAACAACCCGCTCGTTATCGTAGTGCCCGATATTAATCTGTCCGGCTGCGTAACGAGAAACCCGTTATTGTTGTCAATCACCCACTGCTGCGGCTCTTTCTTAGCTTGTATCATGACGATGTCGTCGACCTTCACCTGAGTATCCCTCCAAAATCCTGAACATGCAACCGTATCAACGGCTTCCGACTCGACGTGTCGCGCCGTTAATGTCATGACTCTCGGCTCTTGCTTCACGTCGATTATCTTGCACCTTTGCAGACAGGTGAAATTAATTCGCACGTCCGTACGCCATTCCTGATCGAAGAGATCGCCGAAGTCGTCTTCTTTAAACGCGGAAAACTCTTCGAGAGATTCCACTTTCTTCGAATCATCAAGTTCCGTTTTACTGTGTGTTTTTGCAGGAGGTAAGGACGGCTTTTGAGCAACGGTATTGCGGTCTTTAAGAACATGAGCATTATTGCATTCTGAAATATCAGACCTGGTGGAATTTTGTACGACGGTTTCATTGTGCTCTGTTTTTACTGCCAACTTATCATCAATTTCCTTTCTATTAAGCTTTTGAGCATTATGGCGTATCGTCTTATTCTCTTTGAAATTTCTATGTGTGTTCTCTAAATCTTTAGTCACAAATGATAATATTGAATCCTTACATGACTTGATACTTGTTGGTTCTATGACACTAACATCAGCTATACATTTCTTCTTAATGTTTGTATATAGTTCTTCTTCCGATGAGTTGCTCCTTTCCTTTCTTTTCTTATCAATGCTACAGATTTGAGATAAAGATTTTCCACTTGATACAGCCTTATTTATGTTGTTTGTGTCAGGCTTTGGAGCTTTTGTGAAGAATGATGTTATCTTCGCCTGAGAGTGTTTCATGTCATTCGCAATAGAAGACTGCAAATAAAAAAACACTTAACATTTTCTTATATAAATAAATAAATTAATTTTATTAAGTTTTATTAATTAATAACATTAAATTTTCCAGTATATTATTTAAATAAACATAATTTGTCATCTCTCGTTATATAAGTTTTAAATATGTCATTAAAATTCTATAACATATATATTGTAACTAAAACTACTAATCTTAATAACAATGAGGTGCATACAACCCACCTGACTTAAACGGAAAGTGGTTAAAAATTGATCCGACAGGGAATATAATAACAACGTATTATTGGCGATAGCATTCAATCCTTACCTTTTTACGCGACAATTGAGCTTTCTTCATATTTGCATTTAAAAGTAATTTTATATCACTTGACACATCCTAACTTGTTAGAAACACATTTGTAACAGAATATCATCATTCCCGCGTAAACATTCGATAAACGTCGCCATTTTACAGGCATGTTTCACAAATAACACAGAGTGACCAATTTCTGCTGAAAAATATTCCTATAAGCGTAATAAGAAATTTTTGCCAGATAGTGAGCGATTATTTTGACGTCGACCAATCGGAATTGTCAACATTTGCTAGTGTAATTCTTGTAAGTTATTTTTTAAATGGTTAGATTGACTACAGCATAGTGAATTTCTAGTGTCTACAATTTTCCGAGATTCTAGAAATTTTCTGTCCAACAGCTAACACTGCCACATATGAATAAAATACTAGCTAAGAAATGATACCAATAAATTTATAGCTGCCAATAAAATCAATATAAAATATTATAAACATCGAATGTACCCTTTATTCTGAAGTAAATCTCATAAGAAAATATATTCATCTTTGACCTCAAATGTTTCTCTTTATTAAAACTTTAACGAGATAAAGCAATATCTCCTTATCACCTATTTACATTATGGTAAATTGATAAAAATAATGAAAACTGATAAAATATGTAAGACATTAACGTCACTGTATAAAATAAGAAGTTTGATTCTTAAAAAATATGTAAGACTTTAATGTCATTGTATAATCTTTTATATCAGTCAATCAAGTGAAGATCCTTCGCCACCATGTGCGCGGTCACGTACATCATCTTATTCTTCTTGCTAAGGTATACGTCAATTGCTCGCTGTCGCATTTCTTGCCACTCGTACAGGTCTCGGAATATCGGACGTACATACTTCATGCGTCCTTGCTCGGTAACGAAGGCCAAAGCTTCGGAAACTTTCGATTCCCAGCGGCTCTTGATACACAAGCGCAACCAAATAAACCTGTGAATGATAAGCGAGCGATACGAGGAATTATATTACGCAATAGTAAATCATAATTCATAAATAAAGATACATATGCATATTTTTATACCGTATCTCGCAATTTTTTACAGAGTCCAGCTGGTAGATATCTGCCATTCGCTGTATCTTATTGAGCGACAGAACCGTAGATGATTTATGTAAGTTGGTCAGAAATGCTACTTTCTGACCAGGGAAGAAACTCTCTATATCTGTTACGGCGAAAGTCATAGCAGTATTTTCGTCCCACTCGATCCATCGTTTCGCTAACTCGATAGATACGTTCGCTAACGTCTTGTCATAGTCCGGTATCACAGGTGGCATACCTGGCTTATGGAGCCATGTGTGCCAATCGACAGAATTTAACAGCTAAAAATGAAGCAAGAATTATTATCTCTATATAACAAATATATTAATAAAAATATATTAGTAGAATATGTCAAAATTAACATACATGAAAAAGCACGTTTTACCTCAACTTTGTCTGGGAAATAGTGATACAAATAATCTTTCCAAGTATCCGTTTTGATGCTCTTGTATTTGTACATATCTAAATAAGATTTTAAGAATGGCTCGAATACTTCTGGTCCACCTAAGAGTTGCTCCAGATAAAACAGGAATGTATGACCCTTTTCGTAAGGCACGATCGAAAACGCATCGTCGGGATCGACGCCAACCAGATTTGGCAACAAGTTCGTCAGTTGATTCGTTTTACCTAGATTTTTAACCTGCGACAAAACGTAGTTTCAAAAAATAACGTAGCAATGCAATAACGATATTACTTTTTATATAAAAAAAAATACGTATATATCATTCAGGGACCCGGACAGGACCGAAACCGAAAACCATATGGAAACCGGTATTTTTATCGGGCCGGAACCGTAAACCGTACCGAAGTTTTATAAAGCCTACAGGACAGGAATCAAAATCGACACCGTTACATTTTTTGCGGTTTGCGGTTATTTTCGCTTCACTATTTAGGTTCTTATTCTGTGATTTTAAATCATCGTTTTTTCATTTAATAAAGTTCTAGTTCTCACCGAAAAGCAGAACATTGATCGCGATAAATAAAAAAATAAACTTCAAGCATACGATATCGAACAGAAGAGGATTAGGAATAGAAAAAATAATATATTACAATTTTTGAATAAATAGAAAATCATCCTGTGAATTGTACAAATTACTCTAATGGAATATGTATATTCTGAAAAAGTTCGAGATATTCTCCGAATATTCTCATAATCTACATAATTTACATGTTCCGTTAGGAAGAGGTAACGAATAACGAGGATAATATTATATACCCAAAAAAGTTAAAAGCAGAAGATGGAAATAATGAGAAATGCTATCTATATGGAGGAAAAGTGATATTATTTTTTATAACATATTATTATACATGTTATTATATATATATATACGTATATATATAATTTAAGTTAATAAAATTTCAGAAAATAAAGAAACAAGTTTAAAGAACCAGAACTGAAAAAGAAACCCCGTAATTTAAACGGTTTACCGATACTTTCATTGTCCAGAAAACCGAAACCGAAACCGGAACTTTTATTAAATATTTTAGTGGACCGGAACCGGACCAATATTTTCTTTCGGTTTGGGTCCCAGATTTTTTCGATTTCATCGATCAGAATAAATTATTTACCTCCTCGCGCAGACTTTCAATGCCGTGTAGCGCTTCAAAATGTCTCATTTTTTCACCAAACATTTTAGAATTGATTTTTCTCTCAATGAATACGGTAAAACCTTCGTTCAACCAGAAATGCTCGAAGTTCGCGTTCGTAACTAAATTTCCTGTCCAACTGTGAGAGATTTCATGGGCAATAACGTTGGCTAACGAACGATCTCCGGCAAGTACGGTCGGTGTCACAAACGTCAGACAAGGATTCTCCATTCCTCCGAATGGAAAACTCGGTGGAAGTACTAATATATCATAAATGCCTGCACAAATATATTATTCTAAATAAAATAAAAACAGATTTCAGGAAAATTATATATAAATTCACACAAATAATTTATTATTAAAGATTTTATGAAATTAATCGATCTTAATTATTTTTGTAGTAATATATGTATNATATATATATATATATATATATATACACATATATACATATATATATAAAGATAGAATATATATATAAATTTGTACAATTTGATTTAAATCTTTACCCCAAACATAAGGACCGCACAACTGCTCGGCAGTTTGTAGCATTGTTTCGGTTTCTCCAAATTCATATGCACTTTTATCAATAAGCTCCTTCTCAGCCCATACTTTGCTTCTTGGACCAACTTGTTTCGACACTAACGCCCCTATTGCTATAGCTACTAGATAAGATGGTATTTGTACTGGTTGGTGAAATTCGTACAATTTCTTTGAGTTATCCAAATCTGATACTTTATCCAAAAGTGCAGACATTACAACTGTAAGTTCTCGTGGAACGGATATCTGAGAAATATAAAATACATATTTATTAATTATGAATTAGATACATTTTTTTATATGAATAACCTGAAACGTATACAAGTGTTCTAATCTTAAGTTTTTACTTTAGCAGAATATGTAGATTTCACAAATGGAGTATCTTGACAAGGAAACATGGATCTAGCGTGTATAGCCTGAAAAAATACAAAATTATATAACATATATTTCTGAATATTCTAAAAATGTTATTGTCAGATTATAATTTACCTGACACTGAGAAAATAAATAAGGGTGTACACCACCAGCAGTTTGTTCTGCTGTTAACCACTGCAAGGCAGTTGCATCTGGAGATGTCTCATATTTAATTTCAATTTTATATCTAAGAAAAAGAATGTATACATTTTTTAATTACAATTTTCAATATATCGTGGACTTGCAAAAAATATACTATTTACTTTTTGTTATTATTACCAACAGCCAGTGTTGTAGTAACCAACAGTAACTGAATGGTCAATTTACTTCCAAACTCGACATCCTCCCCAATATCATATTGTAGCTGAGATCCATCAACAGCATTCGTAATATTTAATATTACGAGTTTACGGTTATCTAAAATCTAATTGTTTGATACATTTTAATTGCAAATAAGAGAAATATTTTAAGATAGAAGGACATTTTACTTACTAATTCAATAGTGTCACCTTTTATTTCTACATCTAATGTTGCTTTACCTGTGAGAACTTTTCGTTCAAAATTAACATCTAGTTCTAAGTAGGTATGAGTTACAACTGCAAGTTCTGTGAAAATTAAGAAAAATGATATAAATGTTAGATATTATATAAATAATAAATAAAACTATATAAACATAATATATAAGTAATTCACAAAATAACAACATATTCTAATGAGATAAAATACTAAAGTATAGATTTTTTTTCTGATATAAGAATAAATCATAGAATGTTATGTTACATTTAACATAAATTTTATATTATCAGATATGTTAAAATAATATAAATTGTCCAAAATTCTAGCACAACTAATTGCTCTAAAAAACTTCAAATAATTTAAAGAATTTTAAGATAATAATAATGGTAAAAAAGATGGACTTGTTTTATGGTATACTCTTCAATTGTAGAACAAAAAACTAATTTTGTGAAGTCTTATTTTAATATTATATAGATTACATAATTAAAGTTTGACATTATTTGAACCACACGATTAAAATACCTGGTCTTGAAAAAGAACTTGGATCTCCAGGACTAAGAGCCATTTTTAACAGTGCTTTATCACTTCTCGTAAATTATTTGCAACGATTGACAACGACTGGCAAATGAATGATTGATCTTTGTCCCAACCTATCAATGAGATAAATTCGATATCATATCATTTTTTCTCCTTTTATAGATATCTTATGTAAAAAATACCGTTTTCCTTCTCTTTCTAACGTGATGTCGGAAATGTTAATTTAATAAATGTCTGTTCTTTTTACCTGTGTTGATTCAACTTCGTAAACGGTCATTCAACGGAGCCCAAATCTAGTGTCATTCTGGTTTCTTATAAAATCGTTAGATGGCACTAATGGTTCTGCCCACAGGATACGGCAACTCTTGTTGCGCAGCCGAGTTCACGCAGTAGCCAATCAACTTTCAGTTCTTATCGAAAAACAGAATGTTGATTAGCTACAGTGCGAACTTCCGCCGTGCAGTAAGCGCTTCCGCGTTCTGCAGCCAGAAACTATAAAGAGCCAATTCTGACTGCGTTCATCAGAGAAAGAAGTTCTGCAACTTTTGTGAAATTCATGAATCTGATTGGTGTATGCTCTTAGAATCTACTAAGATTAAGAGCATATACCAATCAGAATTTTATAACAGTTGTAAAGATATTTTCTCTGCTGAACACAGCCAAAATCTTTTCTATGCATGAATTTCATATTTTTCTGGCTGAACGAGTTTTTTTAGATACGTTGATTGGTTGTCGAATAGAGTATCTTTAGGAGAAAATATTGAAACTTTAGATTGGAATTTCAGGTGTTGTACGACGGGTATTGTCGGAAATGCCGATTGGTTCGGATAGAGAATTTCTAGAGATTCTAAAGAAAATTTTCGGAACCCTAGAAATTCTCTATCCGACAGTCAGTCGGCACATCTACAATACTTGTACGACGTGTGAAATAGCATGCTAAGAATTTTACTTCTTCCTGCGTTTCACGGCGTGGTCGTCGTAACCTTGCGGTATTTCAGTTCACAAAGGAAATTAACGGTAATGTTATAAAACATATTTTGAGATCGCATATTGTGTTGTACATATCTATTTTATTTATGCTCTCGGAATTTACTTTTGGATGTGAAGTAATTATCTTTATTAAAAGTATAATATACCATGTGTGTAATCAAACGGAAACACGTCTAAACCATCCATAGAAATGTATGAAACAGTACATATACGAGATTCATTGGCTGATTTTGTGATTATAAAATTGTATTTTTCAATCTGAGTTTTATTATCGTCACATTTTTTACAACATTGCACAATTTTTTTAATATTTTGCGTGTCGCATATTAAGTTATTTTTATCATGTTTTGCATACTTCATTGCGTATTTATTACAAGTTTTTATTTATAAGTTCCATTATAGTTATGAGTTAATAGATTAAAATATAATTGATACGCATCTAATATCTTCAATATTTTGTTGTACCATTGCAGATTATTGCAGAGTATTATTAAATATCTTTCATCATGAGTCGTTTCTTTGCAACTGGCTCAGATTCTGAATCTGATAGTGCATCTGAGGAGGAGCAGATACAAAGGGCACCAGCGACAGCTTTCACTGTATGTATCTAAATATATTTTATTAACCCATTGTCTTACGATTTAAGTTCCGATAGTGTGGGCATTAGTGAATGCAAGGTCGATCACATGTCGAGCCATACATGGTTTGGCTGAGTGTTTGAAGTTGTGCAAATTGCAGATGTCCTATGATTTGTAAATACATGTGTAAGGTACAATTAATTTTGCAAGATGTCTGATAAATAACTACGATCAATTGATCATTGAACAAGAAAGATTTATTGTCTTGAAGTAAATAATAAATTAATAACATTTTTATTTCAATTTCTAAATAAACAGATATTGAAGAATATCATCTTAATAAAATTTACAAAAATTTAATAATCTTTGATTGTATGATATCTTTCAAAACATGTTGGTACATGTAATGTCGCGTGTAGCCCGATCAGCTCTACAAAGTGTCTGAGACGTTTTGTTTACATTTGACGCGATGACCTATCACACATCTCTGATACGACTTATTTATTTTCGGTGCGATCAACATACCATGTCTCTGATACGACATTGTAAGCTAAGGGGTTAATAGTTTTCTATATAGGGTATTTGTATAATGTTATCTTATTATTAAAATGATTAAAAATATTTTTATAGTTCAGTGATGATGAAGAAGAAACTAAGCGTGTTGTACGTTCCACAAAAGAGAAACGATATGAAGAAATAGCAAATCTCATAAAACTTATTAGGAATTACAAGAAAATTAAGGATATGAGCAGTATGCTCTCCAGTAAGTGACTTCAGTATTGCCAAATATCTATTTCATATTTATGTCATAATTGTCAAATTAGTAAAAATATATTTAATGAAAATAAGAATACAAATATTACACGAATATGTAAATACATGATATGTGTGTTTTATGAATATATGACAAAAATTTTCTTGTTTATAAAATTTCTGTGAATTCAGGTTTTGAAGATTTGATGCGTGCTTATCAGAAAGCTCTACCGGTTGTTGCTAAGGAAGAACTTGGACAAACTCCACGATTTTATATTAGATGTTTAGTCGAAATGGAGGATTTTATTAACGAAGTATGGGAAGATCGCGACGGACGCAAGAATATGTCAAAGAATAATTCCAAATCGCTTTCGACGTTGCGTCAAAAGTTACGTAAATATAATAAGGAATTTGAAGATGACATAAGCAAGTTCAGAGAAAACCCAGATCAAGATGATGATGAAGAAGAAGAAAAAGGTTCAATTATTACTTAAATATACATCTATTATATAAATTTTTACTTAAGATTCCGAGGAGTTTGAAAGAAATCAAGGTAAAATTAAACAATACTTTCTGTGATTTTAGCTGAAGAAACTGTAGAAACCGAAGAAGAAGAGGATAGTGCTGTAGCATTTAAGAAGGCTGGTTCAGAAGCTAGTGAACCTGATGTGGCCAAATTCAAGGTTTTCCTTGATACGAAGACTTATGAATAGCATAAGCTGTTTTCAATATTTTTATAAATCTGTTGTATATTTTATATTGCAGAAAAGTGCAACTGATGGCGAGGAAGGCAGTGAAAGTGAATCAGATTGGGGCAGCGATTCAGACAGCGAAAGTACAAGTAGCGACGATGAAGGCCAATATCAAAATATTCGTGAACGTTTCATCAAGAAGTACGATTTATTTTATAATAAAATTTGACATGTCTAATATAAAAAAAACTATATACGTATAATATGACAAATTATTTTGTATAGAGCAACCGATAAGGAAGAGGACGAAGATAAAGCGAAGAGAAAGGAGCAACGAAAAGAACGCAAAGAGAAGGAACGAAAGAAGAAACGTGACGAAGATGACGGCGAAGGTGAATGGGAAACCGTCAAGGGCGGCGTGGCTATTCCTTCCGAAAAGCCGAAGATGTTCGCCAAAGACGCGGAGATCAATATCACGGCAGTGCTGAAGAAGTTGTCCGAAATAATTGCAGCTCGCGGTAAAAAACGTACGGACAGACGAGAGCAGATCGAACTCTTGCATGAACTGCAATCGATCGCCGATGCTCATGCCCTCGGGCATGCCGTAGCTGTGAAGATCAAGTTCTCCATTGTGTCTTCCATCTTCGATTACAATCCGAAGGTTTCTGACGCTATGAAACCCGAGTATTGGTCCAAGTATGTACGATTTTATCGAGTCATCAGATATCTGGCGGACAAATTGATTAATCACTTTTTTTTATTGCGACAGATTAAAGTTTTTTCCTTTTTTTTTTTGTGGAATATGTAAGGCAACTTTATTATTCTACAGAATTTTGGAGCGCATTACTGAAATGTTGGATATGTTGCTGAGCATAAAAGACATGGTAATAGCGGAAACAATCGCAGAAGACATGGAGGAATTCGACACGGCACCCTACAAGATTCACGGATGCGTACTGACGTTGGTGGAACGTCTCGACGAAGAATTCACGAAATTACTGAAGGAGTGCGATCCTCACAGCAACGAATACGTAGAGAGGTAGGTATCTTTTATGGTGTTAGTTACTTTAGAATTGAGAAGCTCATTCTCTCAACTTGATCTGAATTCATATTTCCAAAGAAAAAAACAATGATATGTCGGAAGAATTTCTTTAATAAACCCTCGAATAATAAGATTTATATAGTAACAGGGTGGGTTGTGTCCGATCGGTAGAAGTATTTTGTCGACTAAACACTTATTAGTCTCACAATAAATTAGAAAATATTTAAAAGTAAAGTAATTAAAAGTAAACACAAAATGTATCGCAAAATGTGTAAAGTACCTGAAATATAAAATACAGTGTAGTATTTATATGAATGTAAACTTTAAAACTCATCTGTTGGATATTTAACCCGTAAGTTTTCTTTAAGAAAAAAATAATATAATAATATAAATACATAGTAAGTGCTTGCAAAAGTTCGTATGATATTAAAGCAATTTTTATTGATTAATAACAATGAGACGACATAATATTTTAATCAAAAGATTTGCCGTTGCTATCAAAAATCTTTTGCCATCTTTCGGGCAGTTAGTTTGATAAAATGCCGATAAAATGACTCATCTTTCGAGGTAATCCATCTATTTTGACCTTATGAACTTTTGCAAGCAACTAGTAATAAAATAATATATAATAAAGGAATGAAAAGAAAAAAATATTTTGCTTAAAAAAATTGTATTAAATGAAAATAAAAGAGAGAGAGAGAGAGAGTTACCTGTTTTTCTCTTTTATTTTGTCAAAAAATAATGATGAATCATTATTCTTGTTAATTTATGACAAATGCTTTGTAAAAAATAAAATATAAATAATCGAGAAAAAATGATGTTAATAACAAGATAGATCGGATTCGACCGGAAGAGCGCATCGAGTGGAGGAATCAGCCTTTATACCGGGCAAGATAGTACAGTCCCACTTATCTTACGCTACCAGTCACTACAAGAAAACTGGCTTGAAAGACTCGTGAAACTATAACACGCTACGTTTCATCGAGAAACATTAGAATATGGCTCCGACCAGATACGACCCGATCTTATTATTCGAGGGTTAAGAAAATAAATGAAAGAATATCCCCACTTATGCGACTCTGATGCAATGAAATTTCCACGTGTTACAGATTGAAAGATGAGAAACAAGTCGCTGCCATAATAGACAAGGTGCAAGAGTATTTAGAGAGAGAAGGCACCGTGTCCGAATTGTGCCGCGTATACTTGCGCAAGATCGAACACTTGTATTACAAGTTCGACCCGAATGTTCTCAAGCAGAAGGATGTAAGTCTCGCAAGATGTCTCGCATGTACAAACGATTCTTCTTATTTTATTGAAATTATTAATTGCGCTAGGGTGAATTGGGGCAAGACGTAATCACGTCTGTACAGGTCATGGAGAAGCTGTGCAAATATGTTTATGCGCACGACAATACTGATCGGCTGAGGACTCGTGCGATTCTCTCGCACATTTATCATCACGCGCTCCATGATAATTGGTTCCAGGCGCGCGATTTAATCCTGATGTCGCATCTTCAGGAAACTATACAGCATTCTGACCCACCCACGCAGGTAGTGAATTTGAGTATATACGTTTTTTGTGTTTGTCTCGTTAAGAGGATATGCTCATTTGAAACGTCGTTTTGTAGATGTTTTTGGACATTTTTTTGAAAAACTATAGACAATTCTGAAATCCTGTGCAAATATTTATTTATATTTTAACTATATATAGTAATGTTTATAAATTATTATTCACAATACTAATAAAGTTACAAGTAATTTTATGCAACATTGAACGAAAGTTTTGTTCGCATAGTTGCCACGATTTCGGAAGTCGTAAGCTTCTGAAGTCAGAACGGCGACAAAATTATTAAACTATAAATTTGTGGCTATCGTCTCTACCACGATGCAATAAAAAAGCTGATTTTTGACAAAATGGCACAACTTAAACGAGAAAAGTCGATTTTGGGTCAGTTTTTCTCAGCTTTGAGATTCTTTAAAAATCGAAATATTAAAAATATTGACTTCTTCGTCGTTTCAAGGGCAATAGCCACAAGTTTATAGTTTAATAATATTTTTGCCGTTTTGGTTTCAAGAGCCTACAACGACTGGAATTGTGGCAACCAACCTTTCGCGTTCGACGCTAATAAAATTATTTTTCATTACTTTATTAATATTGAAGATTATACTGTGTAGAAACTACAGTATATAGTTAGAGCGTAGATAAATATCTATGCAAAACTTCAGAATTGTATGTCTTATAGTTAAAAAAAATTCTAAGAGTTACCTGCCAAGTAAAACGTCCCAAATGAGAATACTCCCTTAAATAATAGGAAATTAATTTACCTTGCTTGCTTTTAGATCTTGTATAATCGTACGATCGCCCATTTAGGATTGTGCGCATTCCGTCATGCCAATATTAAAGATTCTCACAATTGCTTAGTCGACCTGATGGTGACAGGCAAGGTGAAGGAACTCTTGGCGCAAGGTTTGCTTCCGCAACGACAGCATGAGCGTAGCAAGGAGCAGGAGAAGATTGAGAAGCAGAGGCAAATGCCTTTCCACATGCATATCAATCTAGAACTCCTCGAATGCGTGTATCTTGTTTCAGCAATGCTCATAGAAATTCCATACATGGCTGGTATGTCATTATATTTAACACATTAGTATTTTTATAATTTTCCTTCTCGTTGACATATACCGAATGTTTCAGACCATCGTGCGCCCCATTTAAAAACGAGGGAAATGGTTATTTTGAAAAATATTTCAGATAAAAGTTATAGGGTATAAAAAGACCCATTTACTGATATTATCGGTTTGACCTTGGGTAGCGTCGCCAATGTTTTGAAAAGCTCTCGAGGTAATTTATAAGGATATAAAAAGTAGGGGGTTCCGTTTAAACAATTCAGGATGACTTTGTTCTGCCCTTGGTGACACCACCCAAGGTCAAACTATCAGTAAATGGATCTTTCTATATCCTACAACTTTTACCTGAAACATTTTTCAAAATAATCACTTTCCTCGTTTTTAAATGGGGTGTACGGGTGGTCTGAAACACCCGGTATATTTAACATATTTTGAAAACGTTCTTTTTAGCATTTAGCATTAAACATTATTGTACAACCATCTTTAATATTTATACACACGGAAATACATTTTAACACTAGCGCACGAGTTCGACGCGAGGCGAAGGATGATTTCGAAAACCTTCTACCAACAATTGCGATCCAGCGAGCGTCAGTCACTAGTAGGACCACCTGAATCAATGAGAGAGCACGTTGTCGCTGCCGCGAAAGCGATGCGTAACGGCAACTGGGCGGCTTGCAACAATTTCATCATCAATGAAAAGATGAACGCAAAGGTAAGAACTTCTTCCATGTTGGAAATTCCTTTCGGACGCGTAAATACCGGGAATACAAGTTAACAGGTCGCATTACTCAAATGATTAATTCGAATCCAAATGGAAGCATGAAGTCCATGAAGGACGCGGCGCTAACTCAGAAACCAAATGAAAGTTTCTTCTCACCGTAATAGCCTATAATCTATCTAGGTTTCTCTCAAATATTATACAGGTCTGGGATCTTTTCCACCAAGCGGGCAAAGTACGAGCTATGCTGACGCGATTAATCAAGGAGGAAGCATTGAGGACGTATTTGTTCACGTACTCCCACGTGTACGATTCTATCTCGATGCCGAAGCTCGCCGACATGTTCCAGTTGAAACGTCCTGTGGTTCATTCTATTATTAGCAAAATGATCATTAACGAGGAACTCATGGTACGTTGCGCGGCGATATCGTTTTTAGAAGTCATTCAATTATTACGTCACATTATGAGAAAGGAAGGGGAAGGGAGCTCTAATAGCTTATACGACTGTGATAACAGGAAGGAGAGCAAAGACCGTATGGAACGCCACATTAAATGACATAATTTGTCAAGTATGGCATAATTTGAAAAAAATCTGATTGCATTAACTAGAAAGGGAACAGCCAGATGCGTTCTGATTGAAAGAAACAGAATTTCTGATTCTCATAACTTAAATGTGATTCTTTTATCCAGAATTCCCTTTCCTTCAACCAAAATGTATCCGGTTGTTCTTTTTCTGCTTAATATAACTAAACTTTTTTCTGTATATTCTTTTAAAAACGCAACTAATCAAAATTATAAAATAATTTGATATATGCCTAATAATTATTTGTAGTTATTTGTTATTTCAGAAAAAGATAATAGCGCATAGTCTAATAATTATTACTCACAATATGATTATAAGCTATTTTTTTTTATTCTGTGTCGACGGAGGGGGGAGATAATTCCACATGTCACATAATATTGGAAGAAGGCAAATACTTTGTAACGACATTATGCCAAAGGGGCAGGGGGAGAGGGATAAAAATACCCAAATTTAGCGTGACGTAATTATGGTTTCTACATTAGTCGCACAATCACAAGATTGCATGAAATTGACCAATTATAGTCAATTATTTTTCTCGCGATCAAAAATAATCGACTGTGATTGGTCAGTTTCTTGCGACTTTGCGATTGCACGACTAATGTAGAATCAACTTTATGTGTGTAATGGAAACAACGTTTGGTGATCCGTGTGACTCAAATTCACATTTTTTCTTCTTCCCATAAATTTAGGCATCTTTGGACGACCCGACAGAAACTGTTGTCATGCATCGTAGTGAGCCAAGCCGTTTACAATCCTTGGCTGTGCAACTCACGGATAAAGTCAACAATTTCGTCGACTCGAACGAACGCATTTTCGAAATGAAGCAGGGTAAGCAAAACGCACGATTATCCCTATGTATATTTCTTCGTGGTCTGATTTCTTTGTCGTGTTATTTCCTCGTTTGCTCCAACGTGTGTACGCAAGTATGATTTTATTCGTACGTTTATTGCGACATTTTACGAAAACATTGCGCGTGCGACGTGCATTTATTCTGTACGTAATGCATATAAATCCTCGTAGGTAACTTTTTCTCCAGAGGAAACCAAGGCAATTTCCGCGACCGGCAAAACTACAATCGTCAGGGTCAGGACTGGGGCCGGCAGAGGCGCGATCGTGACCGCGATCGCAATCGCGAGGACAATAGAAATTATTAAAAATGTCAAATTTAATATATACGCATTTTATTCGATTTTATATATTATGTATGCATATATATTATCATGTAAAGATCCGTTCAGACAAACTCGTTTACTCTCGCATAATGCGTGTGCGTAAACCCTGTATCAGACTACGCATTGAAAATTAAGATTGAATTGAATTTGCCTAATCAGTGCAAACTTAAGTTTAGTGGAATTGAGTGAACTTTGCACTGATTGATCAAATTTCAAATTCAATCTCAGTCTCTGATAAGTGATGTGATACGGGCTTAAGAAAACCAATAAAATATTTATATAATATAAAGGATGCTGTTTCTTATATCATACATAATATTGGTCGATTTTCTTGTGCATAAGCATTACGCAACTAAGCGAGTCTGTTTGGATAGATTTTGGTAATGATATATAAATAAAATTGTTCTTGCTCTCATATGTCTTGTATCCTTTGGATGAGTTTGTTCCCCGTTATGATAGTATCGGACGCGAGAACAAGACGAATCCCCGTGGACTTTTCGATCAGCCGACAGGCTGCCACTTCCGCGCAGGTAATGCCTCCTACCACACAGACGACTATCATCTTCGGCGATAACGCGCCCCGTTTACCGCTCACCGTGCAGCCTGGTAAACTTGCCAGATCCTCGAAGCTGCGGGGATCTCTCTCCTGATTGGTCACGATGTTTAGTATCTGCGCCTGTGATGCGTTAAATAACACGTATAAATATATCGTGATCAAACACCACGTTATTTACGAAGAAGAGTGAGATACGAACGATGGCGGGTATGTAAGCGTTGTTGAACACATAACTGGGACAGGTACGACCGTTTTGACTGGACCGTTTGGAATGACTAGGTAACAACTTCAGTTTTTGCGCGTTGCTACTCCACTCGCTGCTCCAGTTCGGCAGCTTGTGCAGAAGATTTTCGGTTCTGTACTTCAATAAGCCGACGGTGTGCAATTTGTAAAACAGAGGGATATGCTGGTAACCGTGGGTGTGCAGGTGTAGTTTTTGGATGTTCCGAAGTTCGTTCTGTGTCACGCCGTCAGTGGTGATGGATAACAGGCACAGAAGACGCAAACATCGCAACGCGTGCTCGTCTAAGAGGATAAATTTTTACTTAAGTAATCGTTAACGTTATGAAAATTTTCATTATACGAGGTGTCTTAGCGTAAGAACAGCTAAATATCTTCTTTTTTTACGGTCAATTTTTCGATTTTTTTTTTTAAGGTTTTTAAACCCTCAAGATATTTAGCTGTTTTTTCTTTATGCTGGGAAATCTTGTACTTATATATATATGTGTGTAGGATGTATTTGAACTCTACTGACAAACTTATAGGACACTTGTTGAAAAATAAGTAAAAAGAGTGTCTTAGGAAACATATGTCTGCGAATGCTTAGTTTTAGAGATATAGCTTTCAGAAAATGACAATAATGAAAGAAAATATGTCGCAATAAGTGAATTAAAAGTGCAAATATCTCTTTTTTACCTATTTTTGAAGATAATACTCAATATAATAATCAATTTTGATATTTCTGTAAAGTTAGATAAAATGCTTTCAAGAATCTAATAGGTATGCGATATCGTTAGAAATAATGAGATGATAATATTCAAACGTGTTCGTGCGTCTTTACAAATCTCGACAATTTTGCATTGATACGGGAGGCATACATTTGAATAATTTTTATAACAATATCCCAGACAAAATTATGTCTAAAGCCGTGACATAAGACATTTGAAAGACGTCTTACAGACGCTCTTTAAGATGCTTAAAACGCCTTGAAGATATCTTAAAGATGTCTTATCATCTCAATTTTAGACATTATGTTGTTTGGGATGTATCTAATTATTTATTTATTTATAAAACACTATAAACTAAAATATCAAACTATATTATTTATTTATAAAACACGGTTTAATGAATAAAAAATATATTTTTTAACTAAGATTGCGGCAGCTATCTCAGAAACTAAGCATTTGAGGAGCTATATTATATTTACTGAGACTCCTTTACTTATTTTTTTATATAGAATCTAATCTCTTGTAAGTTTGCCGATGAAGTTCAGATACACTCTGTATATTAATCGACGTGAGAAGCGAAGATATGTACCTATATTTCTCTCGATGTAACTCAAGCACTCTTTCTTTTCTCTACAATCGAGCATCAGCTTCTCCATCGTCTGCAAGGCCTGAAACTCGGAGCCCAAGGTATCAGCGATAGTCTGACACGCGGATATATGAAACGCTAATTGCTGTGTCATGTCCCTGCTCTTCTGTAATCTCGTCGATACGTATCTCTCCATCTCGGACAGTTTCATTGTCTGCACCACTTCCTGTTCGGCTAATATTAGCATATGTTGAAAGCATTATTGATAAGATGAAGGTGATAAATAAATACAATGATTAAGTACATTTAAGTGACTTAGCCTTTCCGTGCAGAATCGGAAAAACGTCGCTGCAAGGTGTATCCCTCACTTCTCCATAGATTTGATCCTTATCCGGGTTCAACTTGGTTTGCGACTTGCCCAAAGTCGCTGTACCGACGTTCACATCTACGACTTCGTTCAACAGGCCTGCATACGTCACAGGCGTCAGCAAGGTCGTCGTCAGATCGTAACTTCTGTCCATTACGATCAAGGCGCCGATCTCATGTCCTAAGTTAGATGAACCGAGATATTGTTCCATGGATTCCATCAATGTGTTCACTTGCTGGCTGTGCTTGCCGAAGAAAAGCGATAGCCTCGGCGAGCCGAGTATCAGTTGCAACGACCATAGGTTTTGAGCTAACGCTCGTAGAAGACTGTTATCTTTGTGGTAATAGAGATCAATGAACATAGGATTTTCCAATGACAAGACGTTTCCATCCAATTTTATAAATTCCGGAGATAACGTCCGTAATGTAACCAGTCCAGACAAACCTGAATAAATGTGACTTGACATTATTATCAGAGCAAAAGAGCAAAAAGGTTTCAAACATTTTTCCGTTACTTATTACCGGATATTTTACAGAACGTTCGATTATTCTATTAATAAGATGTGTATTTTAGCTAATGAGAAATCTGATTCGATTTTTTAATATATAATGTACTTCGAACCGTTTTGTTTAAACGACATTGTACCTTTTCTTTTATATTCTATTATCTTGTGATGTAATAAATGTCAACGAATATATTCATTATTTTATCTGGATTTTGTATCCAGAGAAAGTTTCTATATTCTCCCGTTTATTTAACACGTTTATTACACATAAGTATACATCCCGTTTATTATACACAAGTATATGGGACTTGCAATTTAACGCCGATTCCGAACGACAGTTGAGTGAGGTTTTCGTGGCAAAGATGCTCTTCGGTGGCTTGCCAGATCATCAGAGAGGAGACAAGAGTGTATGAAAATATTTTGGTATTGCCGGGAAATGAACCCGTGACCTCTAAGTATAGCAGATCAGTGCGTTCTCTACTGTGCCAGACTCGTGCTCATTTAACAATAATAATAAAAGTAATGTAGCCAATAATAATAACAAGACTTGCTGACCTTCTTCTTCTACTAAACTATGTAATACAGGTGGAACAAAAGGCACGACCAGTAAATGATGATATACTTCAATATTGGGCTTGCTAACGTGAGATATTTCAGACTGTATTTGATCCAGAACCCTTTTACATGCGATTAAGTTGTTGGACACCAGAAATATACGCTGATTGTTTGACGGCTTCAATCCTTCCTCCATTTTATAAATCTTGCCCGCTCCATATCGTCTGAATAAGACGATTAGATTTTAAAATTAATATGTATATGAAGAATATGAAGTAAACTCACTTCAATACAGTCATTCCTACAAAGCTATCCAGTATTTTCATCAATTTCTGTTCTATTATCATATCCTTTGTGCCTGGGATAACGTCTAATATCTCCACAAGCTTTCGTTGACTTATTTGCTGCAGTACATTTAATTTATCGTCCAATGTAATATCCATTGTGGTCTATTTATCTAAATTGTATACGTATAACGATCCAAACAAAAATTCTCAGATGTGGTTATCTCCAGGTATTCTTCATCTGTAAATAAAAAAATTTGGAGAATGACTATATTTTGCAAAAAAAAAAGCATGATCAAATGTATTATATATTCAGTGATAGACAATTTTGTACTTTTGTTACAGACGCATATTTTACAGTGTTAACTACTAACGCGTCACCAGCTGGTCGGATTGTCAAGAGCGGGGCACCGGATGATAAGTCGATGGCGTGATGAGCGATGAGAAGCGGCGCATACACGCACGAACGCACGCATCGATACCAACACAACACGGGTGTGAGTGAGCCTGACACTGGCTCTCACACACTGCTTTTCACGCAGAAAAATCGCAACCGATCCCTTATGATCCCTGCGCTCGTCGCGCCACTGAGTGCCTTTTCATCTTCTGCCGCCGAGGAGTACTCACGCGCGCTGCTGAGCGAGGTTATTTAAAAATGGCGGACGCGTCGTCTTCCGACACTACCTCAGACTGTTGCAACGAGTGTTTCTCTGACATTACGTCGGAAAAATCCGAATACGTCGTGGTGGGCAGGAAGCCGTGTCCGCCTCATCGACGTAGCAAGCGGCATTTCCTGCAGAAGCTGCTGATAAGAGAGGTAGGCGGGCTTTAACCTTCAAATCCTACGAGTGGCATCATGACTGATAGGATCGGCCGAGCTGTCAAGAAAAATTCTCAGCGCTTGTAACAAGCGCTGTTATTGAGGAAATCTGCAGAAAACGAGAAATTATCGTTTAATCTTGCGGCTGGATGGACCCGTCTCATTTAAAACCACTTGCCACTTATGCTCCATGACAATAAAAGAATATGCAGCCCTTCCCTTCATGCTTTTTTTTTAATATTCTAAGATATCTTAAGGTAATTAACGATGTTCGGTATTTTGCGATATTGCTTTGCTCCTGAGATGTGTCGAACAGCGGCACGCGCCGATTTGTAAAAAGCAAAGTGTAAGATTTTGCGCTAATCTGTGTAAATCTGCTTGCAGATGAGAGGATGCCTTTCAGCGCACAATTATGCTTCAGAGGAACGACTGTTTGCAGTGGTACCGAAGTGGCGACATTTGTCTCTCTTACATGTAATGCCAAAGTCAGCGCTGGAAGCAGGGTATGCTAATGTAACAGTGATATTAAGTGGGTTCAATCATTTTTTATCATTGAGCAACTGTGTAGCTTAATCATCAACTATTGCCATAAATACTTGGTGCTTTTTCGTAGAAACTAAGAAAACAAATATTTTGAAGAAATGAAAATTGACAAGAAATGGATTAACGTAAACGTTAAAAAAATTGTTTTTAATGTTTAGCTTGTTACCACAAAGATATAAATAGTGTGGATTTTGCATTCTGTTCTGAACAGGCAGTAATTGGTTTTTATTTTGCAAGGCACATTATTATGGGATTGACACAATGCGGTCAGTTTCTGCTCACTTACACATACACCCTGGAGGTCAGTAACACGTCCCTGTATAAATACCTGCTACATTGGTGGGCCTTCACGCCGAACCGTGTCGCTCGCAAAGTCGCCGAAGTTACATTATTCGGCAACTATACAATTTATAGAGAATTAAGCATAGTTATATCACAATGGCCAATGGAGCGTAATAAACTTGTCATACACGGCCTTTGGTACGTTAAAAAAAATTATTTACACGATGTTGGAAGTGATATGTACGAAATTAATAATCCACTTATTCTTGCAGTACAAATTTCTTACCCTTACATGTGACTGATAGAGCGTATTTAACGATAACGACGGTGCCGTCTCTCGATAACTGCAAGGATTGCTTAAAGGTTGCTGCAGCGTACGAGGAAGAGGGTGAAGGTGATTGTTTACGGCTTTAGGAAAAGAACAGATGTAAACTGTAGCAAGATTTATAGCACGGCTAAACGGAGGAAGATTACCCTTTTTCTAGTCGAATCTTATAGTTTGAAAGAAATGTTTGGAAGAAAACCGTTTTTTGCCAGTTTTTTTTCGATTTCTATCCAAAAAATTCTTTTAAAAAAGTTTATATGCGTTCGATTAAAACCTGCCACTGTTTTTGAGGTAAAGAAGGTAAGAAACCAAAAAAATTCACGGAAAATAGGGAAAAACGATTTTTCTCCAAAATTGGAAAAAAACTACAGATCCTGTTTTATTGATTTTTATTCGTATTTTATATGTAACCTACGTTAATGCGCAGACCTCATTAGAATCTCGTCTTATAGAACTGGCCGCAAATTGGGACAGCTGCGTGCGATGTAACTGCCTGCAGCACGGGCTGACAGTGCACACCACGTACGAAGTCATCTCGCCGTATCCGAAATTTCGAGCCACGGTGTGCTTGAATTACTGGAATCACGTGGTGGTCAATACAGGAAATTTCCTGCACGTTCTCCGAGTAGACTTGAACATACCCAAATCGAAGAATCAGAAGACATGCGACAAGCAAGATTCCGTGGTCCCGGACACGATCCCGCTGGACATGAGCGACGTCGAGGAAACGGACTACTCAACGAGGACGGAGCGGTACGAGAGTTCAGACGAGAAAGCGGGCACGCCGGAATGCTCGATCGATCGATCTCCCAAATGTGAATCCGTCGTGGAACAGGACTTCCTGGACGAGCCGGTGATCAAGTTAGACGATAAGTTAGGACGCGATTTACCGTTAAATACCGCGAGCAGTAATCAAAGCGACTGTGTCTGTGATATAAGTAAGTCTACCGACGCTTTAAGTGTTAAGTCGTGCGAATGCCCGGACGAATGTAAGTGCAGTAACCGGAGTAACAGCAGCCCCGTCTCGCGCGTCAACGAGCAGACCGCCATATCGGTCCGCGACAAGATCCTGCAGGACTTCTGCGAGGACATGACGCAGGAGCTCAACATCGGTAACGATCTCATCACTCTGGTGAAGCATCCGTCGTGCTCGCCTCGCTCGACGCCCCAGAGATTGCCGGCCGATCTCAAGGCGATGACGTCATGGTCGTCGCCGATCCTCACCCCGCCTTCGGACATCCTGCGCACCCGCAACTCGGAATCTAGTCAGCACAGAATCGTCCAACGTCCGGCGTGCCAACGACCGAGCTCGCCGCAACCGGGTGCCTCGCAGGACAATGGCAGCGGTAACGTGGCTTCCATTAATTCGCCGCTCCAGTCCGTGTCGATTAGCCCTACTTCCTCGTGCTCGTCCCGCCTGATGTCACCGCCCATCACGCGCTCCTTCCGCCAGCCAAGTCCGCGCAAAAGGTCGAGCTTGCACTCACCGCCGCCCGCCATCGTGAGCACAACGCAGTCGAGGACCACCCGAGCGACGCACAAGCTCATCCTCGAAGCCGAGAAGGCGTACGAGTTCACCGACGAGGCGCAGGAAATGTGCGAGAAGCTCAGCTCTTTCAGGAAGCGCAGACTCGCTGACAAGAAGTACGAGTTCTGCGATGAGGCGGAAGACGCCGAGAATATAGTTCCTTTCAAACACATACGCGACCAATTCAGGCACCGCACTTGCTCCATACACCAGATACCCTCCTCCCCGGCGATGTCGCCGGTCTTGCCGAACGGCAGACGGCATTGGGTCGACTCGGATCAAAGCGAATCGGACGAACTGAATCTCACTCAGGATATCGGTGTAACGAACGACCTGTCGAATCCCGAAACAGGTAAACTCGACGATTCTTCATCGTTGAAAGAAAGTTCTTCTATCAATGTATCCTGTACTTTCAGCTGAGAAAAACGTTCTGCGGCCGTTGAACCAGAATCAGTTGTTCAACGGAAGCGTGTATAGAGATCGCGTTGGCAACAAGTGTTGTCCGAGTTTCTCCCCGTTGGTTCCTCGAAACAACTTGCAGTATCCTACGATAAAGTGCACTGCATGCTTTAAACGGAGCTACATAGAACTCGACGATGAGATGATATCAGTGATCACAGATGTGGAAGGTATGTATAAATCTGTGAAATTTTCTTTTTCTTGAAATATTAATCTATATCGTTTTAACGAACGGTTAAGGCTTCTTTTGATAAACTGATTTGGTTTTTGAATATTATTCCACCGTATCTATACGAGTAGTCTAATAAGTTTTCATTCCTCGCTTGGGCATACGAAAGATAAGAAGAGAAACCACTCGTATAATTTTATAAAGCCTCTTCTGATCGCGTACAGTGAATTTTTCTGTTATCTTCGTTCAATAGGCGTGTGAGAAAAAAATTTATTATAACTATCGGCAAAGAACTCTTGCGTTGAATTTTGATACCATTCTTCAGATTGGACCGTAATTTCGGATTTATTAATTGTAATTGAAAGGGGTCTGAAACAGACCGAAACGTTTGTACTTCTTAATTTTTAACTCAATGTTATTAAATTGGATTAATGTATCTCTATCTCGCGTCTGGTTCTTATAAGTCTGAATTATAATTGTGATTGTACATCGTTTTAATTACAAGAGGCAAATACTGTACTACTACTGTACTAATTATCACAAATGTTTGCAGATGAAGAGACAGGAGGATACGTGAGTTACCAATGTGTGCTTCCAATGCATGTACACGGTTCCGGTTATGTTCAAATGCAAATGATCAGCAACAGTAAAGCGGAAAAACTGGTATTTATTATTTCGGAAAAGCAATGCAATTCATCGTATAAATCACAACTGATAGAATGACAATTATAAATTGTTAATTAGAATTATAAAACAACAATTAGAAGTGTAAAATGTATTTCTAATTTGATTAACAGATAGTACCGATAGTCTCCATAACTCAGTTGAGTTTCGACATTGAGACTTTTTCTCACCATGTAGCCGACTGGATCTGCGCGAGATTCAAAAAGAAATACTGGCATTGCAGCGACTACGACATCGAAATAATTGACGTGTGCGCACTTAGCGGCGATATAATATGTTTGCATATAATGAAGATACAAGCGAGTGAATTATGTAGTCAAACGCAATGGTAAGCACGCATATTCTTTTATCCTATGAATTCTACATCTCCCGATTACGTTTCTTTCTAATATCACTTTACATCAATTATTGCACATTATACTTTCTTAAGCGTATCTTGCTCGAGTAATTTTATATATAATATTATAATAGAATTATTAAGAATTATTATATAATAAAAATTAAAAATTAGAGTTAGAATTAAAAATTGATATAATGCTCCACAGTTCGCAAGACAGAAAGCTATATGAAGTCGGGTGTAAATTTACGTGGAATATCGACACAAGCCAATACAGAATAACAGACGTGTTGCCGATGGAGGAAGTCAAGCCAGAATCCTTAAAGCAAAACCTACCGGATGCAATGAATTTTCGCGATCCTTTATGGAATCCGACGCGTCGCTTAGCTGCGCAGTTACGCGAGAAAATTCAGCAACCGTATGCGCACACCGTGCGTTTCCTGCACAACGAAATGAGCTTAACAGGTTGGTGTCTTCTTCGCGAGTTCGTTGCCTCTTGTTAGAAACAGTCTAGCGTATCATCGAATCGATTGCAGGCGAATCTATAACCAAGCTCATCGACCTGGACAATCTCGTGCAGTTCTTCATCACGCCGATGCCAAACGACGCCTTAATAGAGTGAAGAAATTCAGAATTACCGCATTTCTTCATTGCAAACAATAATTTATTTATTAATACAAACTCCGCCACTTTCGTTCTCATCGAGCATGACGTAATATATAGAAACGTATCCGCGTTGTTCGCAACAAATATGACAACAAAGAGAGAAAGTACCTTTCTTTCGATAAAGAATAAATAACTGACATTAGCAGAGAGGGAGAGAGATATATGAGCTGTGTACGAATAGCTGTATACTCTCACTATTCACATCTTTTTCCATGAGGTCGATCGTAAGTACGATCGATTAGTGCAACGTGTGACTTGATGGTAACTTAGAGACATAGACTATGAAGGTACTAATTAACGATACAACGAAGCTCGCAAGCGATTTGTAAAATTTATCAGCGCTGTATACTATACGTTGATTATCTACTATACTATGGTAACTACTGTACTTTGGTAACTAGTAGATATAATATAGGTGACTAAACTGATTGTCAATAAATGTACCATGACGTGGTTCAAAGTAAGAAAGACAAGAACATGGTGATAACCGGCTCGATACTTGGTCCCAAAAAATTAATAACTGATCTAAACTGAAGGAATATGTATCGAAGAAATTTCTCTCTTACGCGAAATTCGCCCTACATACTATTATAAATACATATATGTATGTGATATATATATATATATGTGTGTGTGTGTGTGTGTGTGTGTGTGTGTGTGTGTGTGTGTGTGTGTGTGTGTGTGTGTGTGTGTGTGTGTGTGTGTGTGTGCGTGGGTATAAACACATATACATATATCATACATACATTATATATATCTGTACACACACATACACGCATTATATATATATATATATATATATATATATATATATATATATATATGTATGTATGTATGTATGTATGTATGTATGTATATGTGTGTGTGTGTGTGTGTGTGTGTGTATTTGTAGGACCAAATTGCATTATACTTAATTTTTCATGTTATCACAAGATTGTATTGTATCATAAAAAGGCAGATCTTTTCGAATAGAGTTTTGATATTAGTGTACTACATGTAACATGTATATACATAAATGCGCAACTTTTACTATCATCAAACGCAACCGTTGCAATTCGCATACTAATTAATCTTTTTTCTCGGAATTCTCGTCGAATCGTTTTCATAAAGCATTGATATTGACAAGCTAATAGAGATTGTTCTTTGAATTGCAATAAACTCTTTGTGTCATTATTTAATAGAGATTCTCTCGAACTGGTGTGTTATTATTACCTTTGTATAGACATAACGAACATTTACTCTATATCCTTTCAATGTGGCGAAAAGAGAGTAGAGATTCAAACGGGTATTTTAACGGGCGGTCCTACGTTAGCATCAGATCCGATTCCGTCCAATTTGAGGCCAGCGAGTATTTCTTCCCACGCGTTCATGGACTGTTGATAGTGTCTGATATGTCGATCCGCCATCGAGATTAGCATATTCTTCAGATCCGTCTGCTTCTCCGCGTTCCACCTTTGCAAATCACTTCGCAGATTTTCATTCGCACATTCCACGCGATCTTGTAAAATCTCTGTTTGCTTGGCTAACCGCGGAATAGTCTGGCCGAGTCTCTCCAACTTTTCATCACGAGATTCTGCCTTCCACAAAGATCCACCCCAACCCTGTGTAGGAACCGTGCAGCTGGTAACACCTACCAACTGTAAGAAAGTAATTAAATTCAATCGTGTTACTCATCTTTTCGCCAATAAAACATTTTAGAATATTGTTAATTGATCTTCTTTTGATTTCTCATATAAGATAATATAATATAATAAAAATATTATCAGTATTATCAAAGCTCTTTTAATAACAAACAAAAGAAATAAGGCAAATAGGAGCAAATCGCTGTTGTTGGTGTATATGCGTAAAAACAAAGTTGTCGAGTGTCAAATTGGTAAAAAAAAGTCCAGAATGTTAAAGTAACTGAAAATTCGAAGTAACATAATCCGTAGGCGCGTATAATGGAAACACGTAAAATAGAAAAAATAAAAGTAGATAAATCGCCTATCCTCTCTATAAGTAGCATACGTATTATCAAGCTGTTATCCGTAAGAATATATTGACAAACGAACGGCTGAGGACGATATAACGCAGATTAAAAATATATAAGAACTCACAAAAAAAAAAGTTATTGCAAAATGCATGCCATTGCGCTGACGTTTAATGAAAATCATTTTAGAGATGCATCGTTTATTGTAAGTTTTCAGTGTAAAATCTTAACTTTGTCCCAATTAAAATCGTAATCAGTTGTCACTCTGTGTTCCGTAATAGTAGAAGGCTAAGAGCCATGTCTAATTTGATTTCTGTGTTCCTTCATTCTTATTTTTGTAGTCTGGGAAATAATCTGGCTTGACGGACCACATCGTCATTTGCAATTCTTACAACCTATTTGCAAGTGTAATTTTTAAGTTATCTATGTCCTCACGTAATTTTCTCATGTTTTTTCATTGAAGAGGGTCCAAAAAAAATCGATATGTTTGATATATTAAAGATATATTAAAGATATTTATATTCATATTAAATTATTAATTTATCATGCACAACAACAGCAATTTGCTCCTATTTGCCTTATTTTTTTGTTCAATAAAAATATATTTCAATACATGACTTGATGAAAAACTACATTATATCGTCAAAACATTTATGAATGTATTGTTCTTTTGGTACCTGATCTTTCTCTAATCTTCTTTTCGCCAATTCGTCAACGGTTATCTCATATTCAATCTGCATTGAATCACGACGAGACAGTGCACTCTTGACCGCCTCTATGTACGAGACATACTCGCGTTCGTCGTTAGGAACATTCTCCAAAAGTTTCTGATGCGCCAGTGCATTTGATTCCACTGCTTTAGCGATCGCCAATAAAATTGGAGCAAGTTCTGGTTCTGAAGTTGCCCACAGTGTGAATATAGGATGTAGCTGATGAAGCTCCAATAAATAATCTAAATAACATCACACGATATAAGAATCGACTAGAAATTATATTTTAGTACAACTAAAGCGTATTCTCATTTTCTTCTTCTTCAGCGTACTCTCCATACATACCCTGTCTTTCCTTATGTATGCGATGATTAATTTTATCAACAGTCGACAATTTTTCACTCAGCGCTGTACAATATTCCCGAATCTGTTCGAACTCCACGTGACGCTGCTTCATCGTATACGTACTCGCTATGTTTTGCAAGGAATCGGTCATTTTGACGAGCACGTTTCCACGATTTTTACGATGAACGAGGAATTCCTATTTAAGTATTGATTTGAATGAAAACGATATGATACAGCGTGCTATACTTTAATAATGTTATACTCACAGCAGGTTTAGTTGTGAGAAAGATATGAAGATTCTTGTCACAACTGAGAATGGGGTGATTCACCACTCTGTTTAGAAATATATGCAGAAGTTTCATGCGAGCTATGACAAATTCTTTGGAATAACGGTCCAATTGAGCAAGCAGTGTATGCTTGCCTGGCATTGGCTGTAACAAACAAACACCAGAGTTTGTAAGCAATCTGACCTGACTTCCCATTATAAATAATTATTTTTTTCCTTTACAATAATTCATGTTATGTGTATTATTTGTATATTGGATAAATGGTAAAAACTTACTGGTATAATATGTGTCGGATAAGCATCCACCAACTTCTGACGAAGCCAGATGAAGTCATTATAGCGCCTACGGACTATGTACTCCCCTTCTTCAAATTCTGGACGCGTAGTCTAGAATTATTCAATTAACATTATTGCCGGGTACGCTCTAACGTTAACGAAATTAAACAGCTAAAATTATTTTTTAACGACACAGTTACACACTTACTCTGGTCGTTATACGGAATGTGATATAAGTTTCTAAGGTTTCTAGGTGTTTCTGCGGATTGTCTACTTTCACTTGCAAATCTCGAGAGTCTGTTTGAAAGTCTGACATCTCCTGATCCGGTAGGGTAGAGAAACTGTCAATAGAAGGGGATGCAATCTGCAAAATAGCAAAAGCTCCATGACATTTCTTACTTAATATATAGATACTCTTCCGCTTAACTTGATAGACAGACCTGTCGTCAGAACTTATACGTTATAGATACCGTGCATATTAAATTCGTTACACGTGTAGTTTCGTTATATGTTATATGTGTAATTATATGTACGTTATATGTGTAATTTCAATGGATTGGTTACACCAACATTGATGAACATAAATAAGACATTTGTGTGAGGAATTGTCCTAGGTGGTTATATTCGTACCACGGATCCTTCGATGGAGGTGCTGCAGTTGGACAGGAAATCGACATCGCGGCTCTCCTGCTTCACAATTCCGCCCACCGCCATCGAGCTCACTTCCAGAATCGCCGAGTCCTCGGCACCTTTCTCACCCAGGTTCTCTACTTCCGACGTTTCCGTAGAAGTCATCATTTTTTTGACAGTTAGACAACACACACTTGACAACACCAGCTACCTTCGCAGCACTGCGATAACAGCATGCAGGTTCTCCACGAACAATGACGGATTACTGCAGGGCTGGTCCTTGACAAAATTTTCTATTTTTGTATGCTTCGTATATTTCCCGGATGAAGAAAAACTTCACACAATTTTTATAATCATGTGGATACATGTGAGAATCATTATTTCTCGATTCGAAGATTGAACGTTGAAAATTACGTATCGTTTCCGTACTTCATGTCAATTAGAGAGGATCTTCGATTCTATTTAAGTTCGGGGCCCGTGAATACTCGAATTCGCCCCTTTCACGTAATGGCGTACGCGCATCGATCATCGATTCAAAATGCTGCGCAAACTTCTCGCCGTGTACGGCTCTAATTGACCCACTTCATTTCTCAGATGAGGTGTGTGCGGCATGTATATTAGAAATAACGATCCATTTAATATCACGGCGTTTCGTATATAAGCGATCGCTTTGGGATCCGCACGTACATATGGCAATTTCATGAATTTACTTAATTTATATTTTAATTCGACTCATGCGCGCGATAATGGCGGATGAGGTAACATGCGAAAATCGGCGGCAATTGGCAATTGTTGCCGTCGACAACGACGAGGATCGTTCACGCGGATCTCGGGGGATACGGCAAATATTTGCGGATATCCCGTGGAAACCGTATCTCTGGAAACCAACGAATTGCCCGCGAACACGAGGATTCGAAAGAATTCAAAAGTGCCGGTAATAAGGAGCAGCTTTGTACGAAGAAATCTTAACGTCTCTGCTGGTCTTCTGCATCTTGCGGAAACTCCATTTGCAGCAATGGCCAATAAATATTGGTTGGACATGTCCGGCCGTATGTTCAGGAATCGAATTCTATTACGTAAGCGATTATTTTTAATACTGTAAACATTATAGCTTAATCACTGCTGATTTATTTTATGGATTGCACATCTGAAGATAAATAATTGATAAGAAACATAATTCAATATTAACTAGTCTCGTTATCGACAGAAATCAATTCTCTCTCTCTCTCTCTCTCTCTCTCTTTCTTTGTAATTAAAATTAGAAATTTGTCGAATCTTAACTATAAATCCATCTTTCCAAATCGGAGTTATTAAACCTTAGACAAGCTACTGGCAAATGACAATAGTTTTTTTAGCACAATATATTTTTTATAATAAATGTATCTTAGCATCCAAGCTTTGAGTAAGAGGATATTTAAGTAGGCAATGAAAGAAAATGCACTAATTAAGTTTCCTACACAGTTATTTCGCCTTTCTCTTCTCATTTATTTCTCCTCTCTCTTCTTAAATTGTACATTAATTGCGTACAATTATATATACAGCAAATAAATTTTTAAGAAAATTCGAAACTGGATGTAACGAGAGAACTGGAAAGCGCATATTTCTAACTGCACTACTGGCGCAGCTGTGTGCGCGCGCAGTGCTTCGTTGCGCGCGCCACGCATGGCGCCGAAAAGCCGCATTATGACACGCGCTTTCCACCGATATGAGCGGCGGCCGGAGAAAAAAGTTTGCGCATTATCGGCTAATCGCGTCTCTTTCGATCGTAACGGCTTAGGCCAGCTACATTTCACGGCGTTTTATCGCAGTTTCGTCTCCAAATCGCGAGAATCTGGTTCAATACGCTTTTCTATGGCGCGAATTTTGAAATGTACATTTTAGGGTTAGTGCTTGCGGGGACATTTTTACAGGAGCTAATTTCAAACGGTAGAAACTTATTGTTTGTGCAGTATTTCAGATTTCCCTTCAAAATTAGTAAAAAAAGCAAACACTTACTTAATGATAATATGTCGTACAAAATGGATCTTATAGCGATCCGTGGAAACTTGGCATCATAAACAATAGCGTAGGTACTATTTTATTGCACAATTTATGTACATCGGCAGATGCATCGACAGAAATATGTATATTGTCACGTAATTCAGACATCATCGTGACAAACAGATTTTTGCATTTAATTGGACAGTTTATGACAGTACGGAAGAGAAACTCGAGCGTTCGGAACAGGTTTTGCAATGATCCGTGGAAACGCTGCGGCATAAACAATAGCGTAAGTGCACTATGTGTACTTTAACAAAAGCATTGACCGAAATGTACATATTATCGCGTAATTCAGATGTCATCGCGATGAAAAGAATTTTGCATTTAACTGAGCTACTTGTAATAGTGCAGAAGAGAAACTCGAGCACTGAAGAGATACGACGAAATAAGTGGCTTTTGTCTCGAACGAAGCAGCAGCGGCAGAAATAAGCGAAGAACCGTGGCGCCGCGCGAGCCGTGTTCAGCCCTGGCCACAACGCGATCAGTGATGCCGTAGCCAAGGCGACCGTAGCAGCAGACTACAAGCAACACTCCGACCAGCCGTCCACCACAACAAAGTATAGAGGTTCGTCGGAGTGTGTCGTCGTTCCACTTTTCGCGCTCTGTGCCGGTGTCAGTGTGCCGGCAAACCCTGCGAGTCGACCGCGGTTTCCTGGGTGACAGGGCTGAAGGCCATCGCTATCCGCCTTCCAGACCAACGGGAAATAGAGAGAGAGAGAGAGAAAGAGACAGCGGGACCGCTTGACGACGACGACGACGACGATAACGACAACGACGGGGGGACACGTCGTTCAGCCGCGCAAGTGCGCCCCGGCGCCGTTGCGTTCGAGCAAACGCTATTCATGAAGACAGGTGAGTGAGAGAAAATCCGGAGCAGCCAAGAGCAGGGTGAACATTGCGTTCGGCCGCTCGTTCCTGTCGTCAGTCAGGAAGACGGAGACTTCTCCGGATATCCCTCTTGATGCAGTTTGCGCAGTTACATCCGCAGGCAATTGCAGAGCTCACTCTAAAGCAGGATATACGCTGATGCAAATTCCTAGAACTTGAAGACTGTCTCTATTGGGAGTTTCTAATTTTTAAAGCAGACGAACGTCGGAAAAACAGCTGTCAGGATAACGCAGATTATTTTATAAAAGCAGATCTGTTTGTAACTTAAGTAATTTGTACACAGATACTATTCTTGATAAAAAAAAGTAATTTGTTATATATATATAACATTTTGAAAAATTTGATTCGATTTATTTCAGTCATATGGATTCTGTCTGTCAAGGCGGTAATATCTTCTCGAAGCTCCATTTTGTGAGCTATGTAATTTTGCAACAAATTATTGTAGTTCTTTGATTGCAATTCACCTATGTAATGAATACTGATTAAGCCTGGACATTATAATAGAACAGTCTAACAGGGTAAGAACCTTTGTAGGTCTTTTGCTTTATAGAACCCTCTCATTTGTAACGCATTGGTGATTCTATTATTCTGAGCTTCCTATGGGGCATCTTCTAATATGGAGAAGCTATAGGGATTTTCAATTAAAATGGATTTGTCTGTTATATGAATGCAATTTTCCAGCTGTAAGCCCTGTAACTAATATCCCTGTGAGCTAATGTGAACATATTAATTTTTGCAGCAGCTCCCATTTCAAGTTGTTTAAAAAATAATTCGTGTTTGAATGTATAGAGAATACACAAAGTCTAGCTATAAATAATTAATTACATATATTTATTATAAATTATATCAGACTTATATTTAATTATTTGATGATTCATACTTTGATATAATTTTTTTCATTGATATATTTGTTATTTGATTTCGTGCTATCTATTTCTTATCTCTGCCGTTTTACTTTTCAACATCTGCATAGGTTCTCACCCTGCGACTTTATCTGGCTCCAGGTGCATTATTTCCATAGATTATTGGAACAAAAAAAGAAAGAGATATTAATGTATGGAAAAATGATTTTGAAGAATTGACTTATGTATAACATTTTTTATGGCTAAATTATATGTTAAATATACCAATCCAGCAGGAGACATTTATGCATTGTGTAGATAGGACACAGTAAAGAACAGTTTCTCCCCATCAGTCATGCATAACAGAGGCCAGGTGCAGGTTTATGGTATTATGTATAGGTAACAAACACACGGACTATCATATCAGCCTGCCAGTCACATTTGCAGCAAATATGAAGAGATATCTCTTTAAATATAATACTGGATATATCTAAAGAAATATATCAATATATGACAGATAAAAAAGATAGAAAAATTATATTTAATTGTATTTAAATAAAATATAACATTTAAATAAAATTACAATAATTTATATTAAATTACTAGTAATTATATTAAAAAGAAAATTTAATTATTTTCAAGATCTTTGTTTGAAAATATATAAAATATATCATATACATATGATATCTCATATTTTTGCAGCAGTAAAACGTCTCTGGTTAAATTTTATTTACAAGCATTAGGAATCTAACTTTCAGCTGTATTAACGTCAAGAATATGTTGATGTAACATTAGTATGTGTCTTTCTCTTTTTCTCTATCTACCCCTTCAAGGTTCTACATTAATCAACTAAGATATCAAAACAAAAAGGAGAGGATAGAGCATCAGAGATCTTGTTACACAATCCTTCTGCTCAGTAATATCAACTTACGCTGTTATGGTTTTCTCATCAAAATATAACAGACTCGTACATGTCTTATATGATATTATAGATCCAGAAGGTAGTAAATTATATATTTTTTACGTGTACGTCTTACTGTAAAATTTGTAGAGATTATAGCATAACCGATGGAGAATCGTACGGACAGGCCATCTTTCTTCTGCAAAACCTGCTTATGCGGAAACGTATATCGTTTATTAGGCCTCCCCCTCCCTCTTTATCCAGAAAAAAAGAATCGGGGTGCTATGCTCAGGATAATGCTCTCTAATTGCTTTCGCGATCCGAACTACTTTCATTGATATGTTCAACCCTCTTAAAGTGAATCCTAGCTTAAAGCGAGTTCGGTCACGCGTGTGCAGCGCGCGTTTGGGGGTGCTTACCGTCTCACCCCTCTTACCCTCCTAGCTGATTTCTTCCCCTTGATACATTGTGTTTGGTACCTGCTACCCCAACAGGTACACGCTGCCAATATACCATGACACACGCGCGTAATAATGGCAGTGACGTGTATCATTCGTA